AAGTTATCACACTGATAATTGTTTCAAATTGCTTTAATGGTGTTGACAAAGAACCGAGAATGAAATAATGAGGAATAAATTGTGTGAAAGAATCTTCTTATTTTTGGTAAGCCAAATAAGAATTGTAAATAAACTCTTATAATTAATTTATAGGCCAAGTTACCATATAATACGCTTTTTGTTATTTTAATTTAAATATTAATAATATGTGAATATATTAAAAGAAATAAATATTTCTAAAAATGAGTTGATAGTTAAATTTTCTTGTCTACTGACTACTATCAGTGAATAGTAGTGAATCTCTTTTCTTTTTCTCTCGCTATATACTTGCTTAGTGGTTTGTGGTTTATGTCAATTCAAATAATTTCATTTTCTCCATATCTTAACCAAAGGCACCTCCATATACATGAGATTGATTAAAATGAAGAAGTACTTAATGCTCCACTTCAACTTTCGTTGGTTATACCTTCTGTTTACGGTTAAGTTCATATAGTACTTTTTTTTTACCTTGCAAATTTTACTTTGAAGCATATTTTCTCTTTCCATCAATACCAAATTCGATTTAAAAAAATTTTCATCGATTTTATCATAAAATTATAATGCTCTACATTCCGTTTATAGTTGGAACAATATTAAGGAAAGCCAAAGCTAAGATTTGAAGTTAACGAGTTTTAAATTCTAACATTTTTTAAGTTATTGAGTTCGAAATTAATAATCTATACATTCAATGAATTTTTACTAAAAATATAAAGTTTAACATAAGCAGCAGAATTCAACCAAATACGCACTACTAGAAATAAAGGTTTTTCCCACCTTCAATAAATAGAAAATCTGCGCTATAAAACATGATTTCTTAACCACTGAACATTTCAATGAAAATATAGTGATTTATTAGTAGTGACGTAGTTGACACGCTAGCTCTTTTCCCGAACCTAAATTTACTCTGGACGGACTACACCACTTATAATGGGAAATTTGAAAGTTAGTGGAAGCTGTCAATTTTTAAAAACATCATTGCTTGACTCAACAATTTCCAAGTCTCCTATGTAACGCATATTTTACTTCATTGGCGTAAATTGACTTGTCCTACAGTAGCTAAAGTTTTTGAATGTTATAATAAACTGAATTTATAACATATTTACATCACAATTTTGTGATAAATCAGAGAAACAAAGAAAAAAAAAAAGATAAAATCTATGGCTGTTTTGCTATGGTTATTAATATTATCTGCATTTCATGCGGTAGCACTAGCACAACAAAGGCAGTTCGATATAATTCTTGGCTCTTCTCTAACACCTACTTCCAACTCATCATGGTTTTCACCATCCAGGCGCTTTGCCTTTGGGTTTTATGAACAAACCAATGGCTATGCTGTTGGAATCTTCATCGTCGGTATGCCTAACAAGACAGCAGTGTGGACAGCAAATAGGAACAGTCCTGTTGTCCCGAGCAACACTGTCTTGCTCTTAACTAATGATGGAAGGCTCATTGTACAAGTAGGAAACCAGGAAATCTCTGTCATCAATTCCTCTCGAGCCATTGCTTCAGCTTCCATGCTGGACACTGGAAACTTTGTGCTCTATGATTCAGATCGCAATGTCATTTGGCAAAGTTTTGACAATCCAACAAACACACTTTTACCTGGTCAGCATATATCAGCTGGACAAGAGCTGTTCTCGAGTGCCTCGGAAGCAGATGATTCTTTCGGGATTTTCCGTCTCAAAATGCAACATGATGGGTACCTTGTTCAGTATCCTGTCAATACACCAGATACTGACCCATATTCTTACTACGTATCCTACACCAGTGGAGCAGGGAATAATGTTTCACTGAATCTTGATGATGACGGCCTCCTCTACTTGCACAATTCCACCAATAGTCTAAAAAATCTAACCAGAGGAGGCTACCGTAGAGAAAGGACCATCATCTATATGATGAAAATTGATGCTGATGGTATACTTAGAGTTTATTCACATTCTCTGAACCAACAGAACAGTTCCGTGATATGGTCATCAACAGATGATAGGTGTATTCCAAAAGGCCTTTGTGGGCATAATGGTTTTTGCACCAATATAGATGATCAAGCTAAATGTTTGTGTCTTCCGGGATTTGATTTTGTAATGCCAGGAAATTGGAGCGCGGGCTGTGAAAGGAATTTCACTGCAGAATGTCGGTTAAAGGAGAACACTTCCAAATACTATGACATGAGAACAGTTGTAAACACAGTATGGGAAGATAGTACTTATGTTGTTTTGGGTGGAACGACCAAGGAAGATTGTGAACAAGCCTGTCTACAGGATTGTAACTGTGAGGCTGCTCTGTTCAAAGACAGAGAATGTAGAAAGCAAAAGCTGCCTCTGAGGTATGGAAGGAGAGACCTGCGTAATTCTAATCTTGCATTGGTCAAGGTGGGCATTAATGTGTTACCTAACAAAGAGCTGCCTGATCAGAAGGTTGAAGAAACAAAAGGCAAAAAGCTAAGGATAGACATCCTAATTGCCAGCATTACATCGACTGTTTTTGCTTTGTTGGTGTTAGGCATCTCTGGATTTCTCATTCACAGAATTCATGTCTGGACTTGCAGAAAAATCCAGGAGAGTAGAAATGTTCAGTTATGTGAGGATGTTGCTCCACGAGCATTTTCCTATGCAGAACTAGAGCAGGCAACCAGTGGCTTCAAAGAAGCGTTAGGGAGGGGGGCATTTGGAACAGTATTTAAAGGGATTTTGGCAGAAGGCCAGAAAGTGATAGCTGTTAAGAGACTAGACAAAGAATTGGTAGAAGGGGAAACAGAGTTCCAAACTGAAATAAAAATCATTGGAAAGACACATCACCGAAATCTAGTCCGCCTCCATGGTTATTGCCTGGAGGGATCAAGAAGGCTTCTGGTGTATGAGTACATGACCAATGGGTCACTCGCGGACGTACTTTTCAAATCAGAAAAACAGCCCACGTGGGAGGAAAGGTGTGGCTTTGCTCGAGATATTGCAAGGGGCCTCCTATATTTGCATGACGAGTGTGAAACACAAATCATCCATTGTGATATTAAGCCTCAGAACATACTCATGAATGATCAGTTCTGTGCAAAAATATCTGACTTTGGAATGGCCAAGCTCTTAAAGAAAGACCAAACAAGAACCTACACAGGGATAAGAGGGACCAGAGGCTATGTTGCACCAGAATGGCACCGAAATCTGCCAGTGACAGTGAAAGCAGACATTTACAGTTTTGGTGTTGTCCTATTGGAATTGATTTGCAGGCGGAAGTGTGTTGATATGAGCCTCGATGAAAATGAGGCAATTCTTGAATACTGGGTTTACAATTGCTTTGATGCAGGAGAGCTAGATAAACTAGTCAGGGACGAGGAGGTTGATAGAAGACAATTCGAGAGAATGGTGAAAATAAGCATTTGGTGCATTCAAGAGGAACCATCACTTCGCCCTTCAATGAAGAAAGTTCTACTGATGCTGGAAGGAACAGTAGAAATTCCAGTGCCTCCTAGTCCTTCTTCTTTTCTAAGTGCCATATAGTTTTAAACTTCTTCACTTTTTGTTTATTCTACTTTGAGTTTCAAGTATCCCAACTTTCCCATAGAGAGCAAACTACTTTATTATAATTGTATCAATTTTCTACATCATTCTCCACCTCTTCTTGCCACCAGTTATCTTATGCTGTGGTGTATCTCAAGGCTTATGTTTCCATTTTGAGATTTGTCCATATCAACACTTCTCTTTAAATTTACTTGTAGTACAATGAAACTATATTTTGTGCTAAGTGACTAGCAACCGTCGTTGTAGTATTTGAATGGTAAATACTAATTTAGGAGACTTACAATTTTCTCCATAGTGAAAGCGAATCTGCAACAACCACAACTCGTGTAGCCGATGGTCGGGAGTCCTCACAAAGCAGATGAACTTCCTTTGTCCATAGTCTAGATATCCTCTAGAGATGCAGAGAGTTTTTATCCTCTGGAGCTTTTCTATTTAACAAAAAAATTCTATTGAAAAATATTTAGTTAACCGATTAAAATAAGGTCCGTACGACCATCTTTTAATAAAAGAAACATATTATAAAATAAAAAGACTGTGTAGATTAAGTGTAGAACTCTTCAATATTAGAAGGATTATATACTTGCTTAGTGGTTTGTGGTTTATGTCAATTCAAATAATTCCATTTTCTCCATATCTTAACCAAGGGCACCTCCATACACGAGATTGATTAAAGATGAAGGAGTACTTAGCACTCCACTCCAACTTTCTATGGTTATACCTTCTGTTTACTGTTAAGTTCATATGGTACTTTTTTCTTTTACCTTGCAAATCTTACTTTGAAGCATATTTCCTCTTTCCATCAATACCAAATTCTATTTAAAAAAAATTCATCGGTTTTATCACAAAATTGTAATTCTCTAAATTCCATTTATAGTTGGAATTACAATATAAAGATGTAAGGAAAGCCAAAGCTAAGACTTAAACTTAATGAGTTTTAAATTCTAACATTTTCTAAGTTATTGAGTTCAAAATTAATAATCTATACATTTTCAATGAATTTTTACTAAAAATATAAAGTTTTAACCTAAGCTGCAGAATTCAATCAAATACACACTACTGGAAACAAAGGTTTTCCCTCCTTCAATCGGTAGAAAATTTGTGCTATAGAACATGATTTCTTAACCACTGAACATTTCAATAGAAATATAGTGATTTCTTAGTAGTGACATAGTTGACACTCTAGCTCTTTTTCCGAATCTAAATTTACTCTAGACGGACTAGACCATTTATAATGGGAAACTTGAAAGTTAGTGGAAGCCGTCAATTTTTAAAAACATCATTGCTTGACTCAATAATTTCCAAGTCTCCTATGTAACGCGTCTTTTACTTCATTAGCGTAAATTGACTTGTCCTACAGTAGCTAAAGTCTTTGGACGTTATTAATAAACTGAATTTATAACATATTAGCATCACCATTTTGTGATAAATCAGAAAAAAAAACTAAAATATATGGCTGTTTTGCTATGGTTATTAATCTTATCTGCATTTCATGCAGTAACACTAGCACAACAAAGGCAGTTTAATATAACTCTTGGCTCTTCTCTAACACCTACTACCAATTCATCATGGTTTTCACCATCCAGGCGCTTTGCCTTTGGGTTTTATGAACAAACCAATGGCTATGCTGTTGGAATCTACATCGTCGGTATGCCTAACAAGACAGCAGTGTGGACAGCAAATAGGAACAGTCCTGTTGTCCCGAGCAACACTGTCTTGCTCTTAACTAATGATGGAAGGCTCATTGTGAAAGTAGGAAACCAGGAAATCTCTGTCATCAATCCCTCTCGAGCCATTGCTTCAGCTTCCCTGATGGACACGGGAAACTTTGCGCTCTATGATTCTGATCGCAATGTCATTTGGCAAAGTTTTGACAATCCAACAAACACACTTTTACCTGGTCAGCATATATCAGTTGGACAAGAGCTGTTCTCGAGTGCCTCGGAAACAGATGACTCATTAGGGATTTTCCGTCTCAAAATGCAAGATGATGGGAACCTTGTTCAGTACCCTGTCAATACAGCAGATAGTGCCCCATATGCTTACTACGCATCCTACACCGCTGGATTAGGGAATAATGTTTCACTGAATCTTGATGATGACGGCCTCCTCTACTTGTTCAATTCCACCAATGGTCTAAAAAATCTAACCAAAGGAGGCTACCGTAGAGAAAGGACCATCATTTATATGATGAAAATTGATGCTGATGGTATTTTTCGAGTTTATTCACATTCTCTGAACCAACAGAACAGCTCCACGATATGGTCATCAACAAATGATGGGTGTGATCCAAAAGGCCTTTGTGGGCTTAATGGTTTTTGCACCACTATAGATGCTCAAGCTAAATGTTTGTCTTCCTGGATTTAATTTTGTAATGCCAGGAAATTGGAGTGCAGGCTGTGAAAGGAATTTCACCACAGAAACCTGTCAGTTAAAGGAGAACACTTCCAAATACTATGATATGAGAACAGTTGAAAACACAGGATGGGAAGATAGTACTTATGTTGTTTTGGCCGTAACGACCAAGGAAGATTGTGAACAAGCCTGTCTACAGGATTGTAACTGTGAGGCTGCTTCGTTCAAAGACAAAGTGTGTAGAAAGCAAAGGCTGCCTTTGAGGGATGGAAGGAGAGACCAGCGTAATTCTAATCTTGCATTGGTCAAGGTGGGCATTAATGTACCTAACAAAGAGCTGCCTGATCAGAAGATTGAAGAAATAAAAGGCAAAAAGCTAAGGATAGACATCCTAATTGCCAGCATTACATTGACTGTTTTTGCTTTGTTGGTTGATGTTATTTTAGTTTTGATGATTTGACAAACAAAGGGATCCTATAATGGTACCTGATACCTTGTGACAATTTGTTGAAATTGCCAGCTGGAAAAAGTACAGAAAGTTGGTGAGGTTGGTGCACGGCTTCCAAGCGTGCCAGAATCCTCAGACAATAGCATGGCTTCCTTGTGTGTGTCTATTAGATAAAAGGCTTTAATCAATAGACACATTTTTAGTTTTTGCACTCCTGAAATTCTCAAGAACACAAGCAAAAACCACTCCTATCAAGAAGTATTATCCTCAAGAGCAACAGGGACCTGATAGAGCTGCTTGCTGCTTAGTTGTCTTAGGATTATATCTTCCGTGCTAATATTGTAAATCTATTCCTAATCTATAAAGGAATTAGATAGTTGTTTTGTTCATCTAAAAGTCTAAGCCAATTAAGTGTAACTGGCTTAGTGGGCAGTGTTGTATCTGCTTAGACAAATTCTAAGTCATCTAGAGTTAGGTGGTTTAGTGGGCAGTGTTGTATCTACTTAGTTGAAGTCTAAGTTATCTAGAGTTAGGTAGCTTAGTGGGTAGTGTTGTATCTGCTTAGTTGTTTTCTTTGTAGTAGAGTTACTACATATAGGGGGAAGGGATTTAGAGGTAAATTCCTAGGTTGCAGCTGCTGTAATCTAAACTGTTGCTCCGTTTGAGTGAAATGGAGTTGGATTGAAAGCCTGTGAGGACAGGTCGTGGTTTTCACCGCCCTTGAGCAAGGGGGTTTCCACGTAAACTACTTGTGTTGTTTTCTTTATTGTTTACGCCTCATTTATTGTTCATACTGAGTCAAGGGACCTGGTCCGTTGACTGATAGTGGACGCATTGGTGTTGGGCATCTCTAGATTTCTCATTCACAGAATTCATGTCTGGACTTACAGAAAAATCCAGGAGAGTAGAAGTGTTCAGTTGAGCGAGGATGTTGCTCCACGAGCATTTTCCTATGCAGAAACTAGAGCAGGCAACCAGTGGTTTCAAAGAAGCGTTAGGGAGGGGGGCATTTGGAACAGTATTTAAAGGGATATTGGCAGAAGGTCAGAAAGTGGTAGCTGTTAAGAGACTAGACAAAGAATTGGTAGAAGGGGAAACAGAGTTCCAAACTGAAATAAAAATCATTGGAAGGACACATCACCGAAATCTAGTCCGCCTCCTTGGTTATTGCCTGGACAGATCCAGAAGGCTTCTGGTGTATGAGTACATGACCAATGGGTCACTTGTGGACATACTTTTTACACCAGAAAAACAGCCAACATGGGAGGAAAGGTGTGTCTTTGCTCGAGATATTGCAAGGGGCCTCCTATATTTGCATGACGAGTGTGAAACATAAATCATCCATTGTGATATTAAGCCTCAGAACATACTCATGAATGATCAGTTCTGTGCAAAAATATCTGACTTTGGAATGGCCAAGCTCTTAAAGAAAACCAAACAAGAACCTACACAGGGATAAGAGGGACCAGAGGCTATGTTGCACCAGAATGGCACCGAAATCTGCCAGTCACTGTGAAAGCAGACGTTTACAGTTTTGGTGTTGTCCTATTGGAATTGATTTGCAGGCGGAAGTGTGTTGATATGAGCCTCGATGAAAATGAGGCAATTCTTGAATACTGGGTTTACAATTGCTTTGATGCAGGAGAGCTAGATAAACTAGTCAGGGACGAGGAGGTTGATAGAAGACAATTCTAGAGAATGGTGAAAATAAGCATCTGGTGCATTCAAGAGGAACCATCACTTCGCCCTTCAATGAAGAAAGTTCTACTGATGCTGGAAGGAACAGTAGAAATTCCAGTGCCTCCTAGTCCTTCTTCTTTTCTAAGTGCCATATAGTTTTAAACTTCTTCACTTTTTGTTTCTTGTACTTAAAGTTTCAAGTATCCCAACTTTCCCAAAGAGAGCAGAGTACTTTTCATAATTGTATCAAATTTCTACATCATTCTCCATCTCTTGTAGGGACTTCTAGTCAATTTAATCCCCAATTTTGCAACAATCTTAACATCCACAAACGTATGAGTAGCCCCTGTATCAGCCATGGCCATCACACGTTGATCCTTAACTTTCATTTCTATGTTAATCAGTGAAGCATGCGGCTGTCAATTTTAGTATTCCTTGGCGCTTTCCGCGCCGGGGTTCGTTGGTCGCCCGACAAGCGCGCGGGCGCACGCCGGGGACGGGAGGGAGGCACCAGTTAACAGAACTACATGGATTTATCTTCTGCTGTAATGAATCTCAAGGCTTATGTTCCCATTTTGAGATTTGTCCATATTAACACTTCTCTTCAAATTTACATGTAGTACAATGCAACTATATTTTTTGCTAAGTGACTGGCAACCATTGTTGTTGTATAGAATTGTAAATTCTAATTTAGGAGACTTACAAGTTTCTCCATACCAGAAGCGGATCTGCAACAACCACGACTCGTGTCGCCGATGGGGAGTCCTCACAAAGCACATTAACTCCCTTTGTCCATAGTCTAGATATCCTCTAGAGATGCAGAGAGTTTTTCTCCTCTGACGCTTGTGTTTAAACAAAAAAAAATCTGTTGGAAAATATTTAGTGAACCGATTAAAATAAGGTCCTTACATTCACCTTTTATTAAAAGAAACATATTACAAAATAAAAGGACTGCATAGATCAAGGGTAGAACTCTTCACTATTAGCAGGATTTTACCAAACCACCAGCATAGCACTGTTTTTTTACCAAAAGAACTACTGGGTTCTCAAACTGTCAAACATGCCTTCTTTTTTCGCCTTTGGTACTATGTTTTTCCGGCTAACTAATCTTCTGGATTTGTGCCGGAGAGTCCTACTTTAATAAAGGATAAACCACTCCTCACCAAAGGCGCCTCCGTACCCAAGACCGATTAAAGATGAAAGAGTACTTACCACTCCACCACAACTTTCATTGGTTATACCATCTGTTTACTGTTTAGTTCACATACCTTCTTTTACCATGCAAATTTTACTTTTGAAGCATATTTCCTCTTTTCATCAATAACAAATTCGATTTTAAAAAAATTCATCAGTTTTATCACAGGATTGTAATGCTCTACATTCCGTTTATAGTTGGAACAATATAAAGATCTAAGGAAAGCCAAAGCTAAATTTGAAGTTAATGAGTTTTGAATTCTAATATTTTCAAGTTATGGAGTTCTAAATTAATAATCTATACATATTCAATGAATTTTTACTAAAAATAAAAACTAAACCTAAGCAACTGAATTTAATTGAATTCGCAGTGCTAGAAACAAAGGTTTTTCCCACCGTGAATCAATGGAAAATTTGTGATATAGAACATGATTTCCCTGAGGAAATTTTCATTATGAAAATGGAAATAACCACTAAACATTTCAGTGGGAAAATAGTGAATTTTTAGAAGCAACGTAGTCTACACTCTAGCTCTTCCCCCCGGACCTAAAGGTACTCTAGTCTAGACGGACTAGACCAACAAGTCAACATTTACAGAAAAGTAAGGAGACTTGAAAGTTGTGGGAGATGTCAATTCTTAGTCTACAAAAATTGCACAATTCATTTTCTACCAAAAAAACTTGTCCACATTATCTCCTGTGAATTTGATATATCCAACTATAAAATTTTAAAAATATTATTGCTTGACTAAAGACTAGTACAATTTTTTCTCAAAATTGACAGGACTGAATAATTTCAAAGTCTCCTATGTAATTGGCATAAATTGGCTTGTCCTACAGTAGCTAAAGTTTTTGGATGCTTCCAAGTTATAGTTATAATAACTAGTTCTCGAAAACGTGCAACGCACGTTTGTCTCATATAATTATTATCAAGCAATTCTAATTATCGACCATTTCAACAACTTTTTGATCTTTTTCATTCTTTAACCTTTGCATGAAATCTAATAGAGAAATGTAGAAATGGAGGTAGAATATTGAAGAGGAGCCAATCTTTAGCTGCTTCCAACATTACAAGACATTAGTTAAGATATAGAAATCTGAATTCACTAGCAAAATGTTATATGACCAAAATAATAATTTTGACAGTGTTTGCTAAGATTAGAGTCATTAGAACTTTGGACAGAATAGTCCTGTAAAAAGAGCTCAAACTATAAAAACAAAAACCTATTCTACAACTTCATTTAGCTAAGAATCATCAAAAGAATGCAAATATTTCGGGACGACATCCACATGTTCTTATAAATGAGTTTTGTGCCTGAAACAATTCCATCAAGTTGTCTTGCTTGCCCGGGGACTAACACCCAAGTAGTTTGTCATGAGACCCGTGATACCAAACATCATAGCCATTGAGATCTGCTTAAGATCATTTTCCATATTCCTTATGTTAGTACAAATACTATCAACATATGTTTTTTTAAGGTGGATAATGCATCATTGTCAATTTCATGGGATACACTTAAAAAATAGTGTTTATTTGTGATAGAGATAGCTAATAATTAGTGGCATTAGAAAATTTAATCGATATAAAAAAATTCAATTGCACGTACAACTTTCTTTGTTTGATTCAAGATTACGAGTCCTTCATATGTAAATTTGACAGGAAAATATTAATTAAATTATTTAGATATAATCATATTACGGAATATAATATAATCGATCTATGCTCACGAATATGAAACTTGATATAAATGGTTGAAATATTTAAAACATCTTATTTAAACATATTGCGTGTACATCTTCAAAAAAACATCCACTCAAAGAAATAATAATTTTGTATGAATCTAAAGTCTATATCATTTATACTACTAAAAAATGTCATACATATCACTATTCAAAAAAAAATTAGGGTATGATGGTAGATGAAAGTCTCCGGTTTGAACAATTTTTAGCTAGACATAAAAAATTAAGGACAAAAATACTCATTTTGAACTTCGTAATGCATTAATAGAATATTTATGGGAGAAACGTAATAATTTTGAAAGTTGAGTGTTTGTGTAATTGTATTTCACTTTGATTTGAATTTATTCATTAATTTGTATATTATATAATATTTTCTTGCAATTTATGTTATTTAGAAATTTAAAATAAAATATAATTTTATATTAAATAAAAAATTGAAAAAATAAAATTTTTTATCACATGAAAATTATATAAAGTAATTATTTGGGAAAAAGAAAGAAATGATTTATATTATGAAATAAGAAAATAAGAATGAAATAGAAATAATAATATAATATTGAAGAGAGAAAAATATTCTTTTTTAGAGAGTAAAATAGAGAATTGAGTTTGAGTTGGTTGTCTGAAAAAATAAAGAACTGTATATTTGGAGAGTAAAATAGAGTTTAGGGTTGGAGATGCCCTAACTAAAGAGATTCCATGCATCTGTTGTACCATTCAATTTAATTTAATTAAGTATACGTCTAGAAAATTGAAAAATATCTTGATGCTTAAAAAACTTATCTTGATGCTTAGAAAACTAAAAATGCTTAAAAGCCATATTGGAGGAGGTGTAACTCATAACTAATGAATAAAAAATAACTTTAATAATTAATTAATATAAATAGTTTACAACATTTTAATTTAGTGTAGGGGCAAAAAGGTAATCCAACTTTGCACTTTGGTGCTTCTCACTTTTAATAATACTAGTTTTGAGCACGTGCGTTGCACGTGTATTCGATGCTAATAGTTTAAACTTCTTAAAACATTAGAAATAACACCAAAACTGAAAGTGAAGGATACATGCTCAATTGATGAATAGTTCAACCGATATTCACTATCATCACAAAGTACATCACACCAAAAGTTAATATCAAATGAAGTTGAAATGATCCCCTTAGTTTTAAGAAAGAAAGAAAGTTCCTTTAGCATTGTATTCTATTACTTTGATAACTACTACTATAGTTAGCAGTTGTATACAGTCAACAAATTGTATAACGCTTTCTTGTATAGTGCTTTTACTCTATCAAAAAATATTCGACCTAAATGATATTTCAACGACAAATAGTGTGGATATGAGCAACACCATTAATGGTTACAAATACTTCAGGCCCATCAAGTAGTTATTGTCAGATGAAAGTAGTGTTTGTTGAAGTTGTATCAACTTAAGAGAATTAATTTAATATATATAAATCATAAGTGCATGTATAAGTATCCTTTATTTGATTTACTTATATGAGTCATTTCAACTAAAAATTTGGTAGAAAATATTAGTTGAATATGATGTATATTGTATCATAAAATATAATATGACAATAAGTCAACATCAATGTATTTTGTGTGAGCATGAAACACCATATAAATAATAAATTCATATTTCAAATCAAGCCTTCTCAAATTCAAGTGCACCTAGATATCACCATCTCGACTTCTTCTTCCCCATGCAGTCCATCTACCATTTTTGGATCTATGTTTTTTTATCTTTTAGTTTGTTGTTGCATCTCAAAATTCATAGACTTCTCAAAGGAAGATTATGATAGATAATGTAAGTGAAGAAAATAACATAAATTAGTGTATTTTTATTGAAAAAAAAGATAAATAATACACTAAGCAGTGAATTCTTACAAGGAAGAAGCATGTAGTGTTCTATCTTCTCACTTCAAATAGGGATATTACTGACCAAAGGTTAAAACCTATAGAACGTTATTGACTTGTTGAGTTAATTCCTGCAAAAAAAATATTAGAAATTAGTGAAAATTGTGTCTTATGCAGTGTAATATAATATCGGAAATAAACCATCTTCATGCCATCTTTTGCCAACGTCTT